TTGAGCCACCTTTGGCAAAGTAGAAAGGAACGATTGGCCATCGGTGATCGGTCCTGTGGGAACAATGCTCCGTCCTCTCGAGGACGCGTGGTCAATGGTCTAACCGCTAAGACATGCAAAACATAAGAGTACGCCCCCCCCACCTGGGAAGAGCCACAGTTTTCATTCGAGCGATAAGAACTTCATCGAAGAGCGAGGACAGACCTGGAACGATGAGTAATGCATCCACATCAACGCCAAGGCGAACGTATGTACTCAACAATGTAATAATGGGAATTTGTATTGAGGCCTCTTTCGAATTTCCTTAGACCAAGGGGGGAAATCCAATATCGACTGTCGTCCAGCAGACTCAAAAGTCGTGAATTCACGGTTTCAGCTAGCCTGTCAACGATTTCATTGCAGGTCGTGCCAAAAACTCCGGCGGAATGTCCACGGGTCCCGGTGTGGTGCACTCCTGGTGATCACGACCTTCCACACGGGTTCGTTCATACCGTACGAATACTCTGTTGTCAAGCCCTTGTCGGAAATGTTTTCCGCTTCAACATGTTTTTCGTGCATGACAGCCACCTTCAGGGTGCGGTGTCGTTCGGCGATTTCTCTCATTTCTCTGACAAAGAACTTGCTCTCCCAAATCAAAATAAGAACCATGAAATATCTATGTTGAGACCCCCCACCTCCCCTCTGTAGCGCTGGTGTTCGACGTGTACGTCGCGGATTGAGGGAAACCGCCAAAGGCTCTTCTTCGAAATCCATAGCTATTCTCAGTACCGTAAAGTATACGGGTCTTGGCACGGATCGGCGACACCGCAGGGTCGGGGTCTTGGCACAGGGGGTGCGGAAACAAAACCGGCTCCAAGTTGTGTATTTGATTATCACGCAGTTATCATTCACTTCGCACACGGTGTGCGAAGACACCCATACCTTCAATGAGGATGGGCGATGCTACGAGTGGTTTCCATTCTTTTTTTACGGGATACAGCTGACAACGGGAGCTTGTACCATGGGCTCCACTGCCGTACTGTGGCCCCGTGAGTTGCTCATGTGCGAGTGCTGTTCAAGATCGCTTTCATCGTCGAAATCGACAGAGGGTATCCGCCCAATCAACCAAGAACGCGTACAAACCTCACGAAACCAAACTACGGGTAGGTAGGATACCGGGAATCAACGAAATCGTACATCCCCCGTAGCCCACTACGTTCTTGTTTGTAGCTCCAAATCAAACCTCTTATCGACCAGCCATGTACCGCCATCCGTTACCGGCAAACACACGAACGTCCGTTAAGTTGTCATTCTTTTGCTGCTATCACGGTAGAAACGAAAGTGTTGGGTGTGTGCCCTTTTGAATTGTTCAGGATAAAACACATCGATCGAGGTCTTGGCATGGGAGCGGGGTGTTAAAAAGAAACAAACACTGGCTGCGTTGTGTCGACTTAATTCTCACGGATCGGAGCTATCGCACCGGGTGTGCATTACATGTTCTAGACCAGCAGTTAGTTCATTTTCCGCACAGGTACCGGGCACGTGTGGACGTCTTGGCACTCCTGTTCGAAAACATCTTAGAACGAATGTGTCGAAAAGACGACCGCACAGTGTGTCAAGACCCGCATATATACGGTGACCGTCAGCTGTGTGATGGAGTTTCTCCGCATCGTCTGTGGCTTGGTCCAACGCCAAACTAGAGTACTCAAGCCGTCCGAGGAAAAATAGTTGCGCTAACCAGCCTGGTAATTTCACCACGCTCTGCGCTCGCCCCCCATTCGCCTGGACAAGATTGACGTCCTGATCTTCTATTCCCCGGAGGCCGCCTCCTCAGAGGGCATCTCTGACGCGCAGCTGTTGACCAGGATTGTCGAAGGCATGGTGACCTTGAACCAGGCCATCACAAACTCAGCAATCGCGGATTTAGAATATCGTCTCGTCCACGTGGCCGAGGTGAGGGATGTGGCGTGCAGGGGGCCCAGACACGGAGCCCGTGGCGAACCGTTTATTTTTGTGTTCGATTCTCCATTGATGTGGCAGGTGGTGATCGATGGCAGGTCATGCGAATGATATCACGAGAACATTTTGGCTCGTGCGCTCGGGTTGTTGAGTTGAGGCACTTATCGTATCGGGACAATAATTGAGCGGTCCGACCACAGGTGAGGGGCCTAAAGCCGTCGGGCACGCAGGGGCACCCTTGCGCAACAAGAATACATGAGGCTCCCGGTTAATTTTGGAGTGACCGCCCAAGAATGATATCGGGGTGCGGCCTCACACTCTTTTTTAACGTTCCGGAATCTCGGCATCTTACAAAGTTTTGCGGTGGGGTTCTTCCGTGATCACCAAGGCGCGGTTTGTGATTTGCGAAGACAACTGTGTGTATTCACGTGTGAACGTCGATGGCGCTCCCGGCCTTGGCTGAGGGCAGCTACCGTACAGCCAGATGACGTACGACCCCATCGACAGCGACGACATCGACCTCGAGCCGGAGCTTGATGCGTTGGCTGCGAACAGCGCCGTGAATGATCTACGCAACGAATACCAAGGGGACCTGGTGCAGCTCGTTGGGTACTTCCCGGGAACGTGCGGACTAGGGTAAGCACTGTGTGACGCCGGACGCGATGATCCAGTTCGTGGGCGTTGTATAGCATGCGGTGATATTCAACTGGGTCACAATTGGGTTGTAGTTTAGGTACTGTGGGGTGTGTGTTGCACAAATTTTAGTTTACTGTAATTGAGCCGGGCTTCCCTACGGTTGAGCCAACTTCGCGCAGCTTCGCGTGTATGGCAACCATCATCGCGAGGTCTCGCGAGCACTTGATTTACGAAGCACGGCAAGTGCACCCACACCCCTACACCTGATGCGCTTAACCGTAAGCAGGACGGCGGTGTGGTCGTTTCACGCGACATTGTAACGTCTGGCTATGGTCGGGCTCAACACCTTCCGCGCGCGCAACTGACCTGTCTGTGCTGTTCTTGTAGGTATATTTTCAACGGTAACGCCGAGTTCGGCTTCTCCCTCGTGGGCTCAAACTGCTTCGACAATTTCTCACACACCCACGAGATAGCTCACAACATGGGGTGCTACCACGACAGAGACAACTCCGAAACGCAGGATGAATACCGCCACGGTTACCGGTACTGCACGGGCTCCGATCCGTGAGTAGGTATCGCACCATGTTGGTGGGGCCCACAGGAAAACCCCTTCCGACGGGGGGTGCAAAGAGCAGAGAACGCACTTCTTAGACAAGTTCGTAGAGTTTTCATCCCCGAACCCGCTTCATGTTTGCTAGAATCGAGAACTGGACAACCCCTAAACTTCGGGCGACGCTCAGATGCACAATATCACGATAGAATCAACTTAAACAACGGGGAAAAACTCCTGGGAACCATCGTCTCGCACGGTGTTATGTTCTCGCCAATGTAGCAAGTTTCGATACGCCCTCCATAATTGCTGGAGGATTCTTTGTGCTCCTTGCCTCCACGAAGCAACACGTTGAAACCTGAGGTGGGGGAGGGACTCCTTGCACCCGCGAGCGCCCGCCGTCTCTCGATCCACGGCCCTCACACCGTAGGATGCCCTTCGATAGACACGCCATTGCATCACAATGCTGAAGCGTTCACTGAGCGTAGACGATAATCGCTTTTGCGCACCACTAGGGGAATATCTCGAATCTTCGATTGTGAATCGGGTGGAGCAAGTCTTGTCGTTCCATACGTATTGATATATCTATTTTTTCACCTGTTTTCCAGCGTCCTCGAACGTGTACCCAGCCCTTGTTCTGGTACGGGTCGACGCTTTCCAGGTATTCCACATTAGTCATAAGAAGTATAAGGGCGACAAACATTGATGGGCTGCAGGGAAATCCATTGGCCTGGCCTGGAGAACATCCATTGCATCAACGGTAGACCCCTGCATTGTACGTGCCCTGAGCACCTTCATTTCGTACGCGATCGTTCGTCATTAACGAACTACCCTGGGTATGGTGCCTACAGCTACCGCACCATCATGTCGTACTACCAAAACGGTTGCGGTGGAGACCCGACGCCCGAGGCAGACCCCATCGTGCCACAGGTAAACTACTTCTCCAATCCGGAAGTGACCTACCTCAACAAGCCCACGGGCACCGCAACCGCAGACAACGCTCGGTGCATCGAGGAGAGCATGGTGAGAATGGGACAGGGGACTCAGTGGTACTACCGCCATTTCGTCAGCTACGCCAGCAGAATCGTGCTAGATGTAGGCGATGTTTTCTTTCGAGGTGCTGTAAACAAGTGGGACGATTGGAGGCCACGAAAAAATCTCGCTCTCGGTGGTAGAAGTAGAGAGAGCGAGAGAGAGGGATCATGTCGCCACGAGAAGCGCTTCTTTGCAGGCGGAAGTAATTTCCCACACATTTCCAAGCGACCATGAGCGAAGTACTGGGGCAGATATACGTTGACGGGATTCCACAATGAGCCGTGTGTACGCTGAACATTTGAGGGACCCCGTTCCACCGACAATTAAAAAACAGAAAAAGAGTCCTCCGGGAAAACTTTCATTCGACCTCCGTTGATGCGTATAGTGGTAGGAGAAGATCAACACAAGTGCGTACCGTTTCGATGATGAAAGTCCCAAGTTCAAATATAGTTTTGAGATCGCCGTGTGCAAGATCTGCATGTACCTGTACTACTCTTCGCCTGGCACAATGTGTTAAATGTCGTGGAAGAACAAAGCAGACAACACCCGTTATCGTTTGGAGGCAAAACAATCTGTTGTCTATTGGGCCCGACCCCACACGAAGCTAGCGCTGGAATAGGCGAGTTGATGCCGAGGTGAATGCTACTCGTGACCTGTAGCGCCGCCGAAACCGGAGTTCGAGATTAATCATCGCTTGCCGTCAATGACGCGATCGGAACTCCCCTCTGATTGACGGTGTTCGACTTCTGCATCGACGCGGTGCTCTACGGATGATGGGTCGTGTGCGGCAACATGGTTTGCTTTCCCAGGTGGCTGTGTCCAACTTCAGAGCAGATGGCGACTTCATCTGCTCCGATGATGGGGATGCGTGTGCCGTAGATATTGACTGCTGCGTTGGCTTTTGCGGTTCTGCCGGGATTTGCGGTGAGCTGAGAAAATTGCTGCCCACCCAGGGGAAATGTCTACGTTCTCACGGGCCACAAGGGTAGGTGTTTCGGGAAGAGGCAGGGTGGTTCTTTGCGAAATTGCCTGAACATTGCCGTCACAGTTCGAAAGCTCGTCTTCAGCCGCAGCTTTCCACCAGCGTGACGTAACGAATTTACACGAAGCCTTCCACTTCGAAGCACTCATGCTTGTGTCGTACATCTTCCGTGATATTCAACGTACTGATTGAAATTTGTCTACGGTGCTGCTGGCCTCCCCCGCGGTGGTGTTTCTTTAGTTTTCGGTTCTGGCCGACATGCGTATGTGGAAGAAGTAGGATCAGAATCAGATCTTGCTCGTTTCGTCCTTGAGCAACCAATACAGCTTTGTGTCACCTTAGCACGGGAAACGAGTTTTCTCGATTGTTTTACAACGTTTGTTGAAACTATGTAATAGTTCCTGCTCTTCTCTGTTTTAGCTTGGTGTTGTGGTCTCAGCAAGTATTGCCTCAGGGGCACTATTGACGTCGGTCGAAATGTTTCGTCTGTAGACCATGCTGGGAAATCAATTCGTCTCGGACCCGTGATTGCGTGATGAAACGAAACAAACTCACCTACGCAACGTATGGCACGGTTTCACGCTCGAAGTTCGTATCATGCATTGACATCCATCGGGTAGCTCACTATGGAGAAGGCTGAAGGAATCACGTGGGAGGGTGCGGTCAAAACAATTTGTTGGAACTTGTCTCGCCTAGCATCAACGTGTCTGTCCAGGGGACGGACGCTAAGTTTCTGTGGTTAATGAAATGCAGCACCGTCTCATGTTTCCGTCTACCGTCCGGCATGGCCCTGACCTCTGAACGAAATGTCGTCAGACCATCCGAGCACCAAACTGAACCCACCGTATCTAGGAAGCCGTAGGAAGCTCAGTTGGTGTTCGGAAGCACATTGAGATCGCCCAACGTGATCGCTGCCAGGCGATCGCTGCAGGACCGCGAGATACCGAAACTGCACGCCAGAGAAAATAATGAGCCATGTCACACCATAATTTCGTGTCTTTGCATGAGGAGACACAACGTCTGTTCGTTCGTGCCGCCAACGTTGGCAAGGTCGGAGAAACAGTTTGTGTGTGGTTTTCTACGCTCCCGTGATCGCCATAGTCTAGTTGGTCTATATATTGCTGTGCGGGGTCGAAACCCTCCGTGGAAACGGGATGATCGCACCACGTTGTGCTGAATTGGTCAAACATCCTCGAGGAAGTTAGACAGTGCTGATAATTGTCTATGGAATGCACCAGAAAATGGATTAAGTCATTCGCAGCTGTCATCCGTGAGGAAGGAAGTACGCACAAGATGCCAAACACCCTAAGCAGAATGCAGCGCACCGTCCATGCGACTCGCAGAACACCTGTGCACAGCGTTTCGCGCTTGGTGATGTAAGAGCCTGGTCTGGTGAGAACCCCGCGTGCTCCTTCCCGGCTCTGTAGGGATGCGAGGTCAATCTTCTGACGACTACGGCATGCACGACTATGAGTACACCCCCCCACTCTCCCGCTATCGCGAAACAGTAATCAGCTCGCTAGAGTTAGAACGTATCAGGATGTCCAGATACGATGGGAAATGTTTCGTCCAACGTTCAATCCGTTGGCTCCAACACTGGGGAAACTACCGGTGAAACATCCATTTTCGAGCTCGTTCTCAGGCTAAGACATTCTCACTTCCCTTGCTATCCTTGGGCGGTCGTCGCATCGAGCAGCAACCGAAGAATGCGCAGGATTGGGCGGAGACACGGCCACCATCGAAGATATGGTCTGCGACCCCGGTGAGACAAAGCTGTCGATCAAATATTTGGTGGACAGCTACCGCGTCGCATAGGCCCGATCCCAGATGTATGTTAGCTTTTCCTCACGGTATCGGGTTTCGAGCTTCAAGGTGCTCACGATCCCACCAGAGATGTCCTGCACGCCGAAATCACCACGGTTTCCGTGCGTTTCGTGTTTTCGTGTAGTCCGTGTTCGTCCGAAATCGGATGTAGCCTGAGGTATGCAGCTGGCCTCGGCGTTGTTTCGAGGCATTCGTGGTGTTTTCAGTGTTCGATTCTACACCCTGGTGGGCTAGAGTACAGCATGACAATTTGACCCAGCACTGATGCGATCATTTTCCCGCCCTACACATCGTCAGCGAGGAACGTGGATTAAATGTAATTTTTCGCGCCGAGAGAGCGGACGAGAACCGTCAATGTTCTCCTCCGCTTAACCGGTATACAACACCCGGGCACTTAACAGGATCCATCGCACGAAATTGTGCACCCACCGGATATTATTCCGACAGAAGTGCTCGTGGACGTGACTGGAGCTGCGCAGACCATCACCATCCCTTGCCTCGTGCTAACTCAGCGATTTGCCCTCTTCTTCCCTTGTGCTTGTCTGCAGAGAACAACGTCGAGGAATGCCAGTACGACGGGGGCGAGTGAGTGAAAGGCTACGGCAGTGCCTGAGAGCAACAAAAGGGTTTGCGCAGCGGTTTCGCGTATCGTTGCTCGGTGGCGGTTGTTGTATGGTCGAGAGAAGGAGGTTGTCCGTCAGACGTGCGCTTTAGCAAGAATAGGGTTTGGTCGCGAAATGTATGTATTTGGTTGTTGGCTGTACCTTACGAAATGCGTAGTGATCACTCGGGTACGAGTTGCGAGAGGCAAAAGGATTTCTGCCATCGCTCGACGGTGTTCAACGCCATCGGTCGCAACAGGTCAAGGAATGAAATGTGGGGCCAACACCGTCGATTCGTGAGGATCCGGCAGTAGCAAAACACTTACGTGAAGATTCCCACACAGGAAGAAGCACGTTGCCCCGGATGCATGGTTAACCGTCAATCCACAACACCAAGCGGTATCGAGTGCACCCCAACGCCCGCATCCTCCGCACGGCGTGTTATCCTGCCTCGCTTGCACTGCCAGCTGCTGCGAATGTGACTGCTCGAACCAGGTGTGCGACGAAGACAACACCTGCGTTACCCCGGCGTGGGACTGCGTAGGTGAGCCACACTTGCACGAACCGTTTTTGGCGACCTTGCGTGCGCGTACCGTGCTCGATGGGTATCGTTATGAGCCGGAAAGTGTTCCTCAAACTTCGTGCCCATCTCATTCAAGCTGAGACCTACTGCGGCATACCTCGCGACGGTAAGGGGGCTTAAATTCGTATCCCCTGTGGTTTGATCAGTACAGCTCTGCTAGCTGCAGGCGACACTGCTGTACGTACGCCGATGTGCTCCGTCTACACCACCACTTCAAAAGAAGAAAGAAAGACGCTTTGCTAGTGTAAGGATGGGTGATGTGAAGTTGGTGCGGGACGTATGCTCTTTCTCGCCTTTAGAAAACCACTACCGCCATCACCTCACGGCGGTGCTCGCCGCGTGTATGAAATGATACGCGAATTGTCCGGATCGTCAATAGGACCCTTGAACCGCACTACTGTAGTCGCCCTTGTGAGGAAAACATAGTTGGATTCGTCGGTTTCAGGCCACTGGAAGGGATTTGGAGCTTTCGATATCTTAGTCAGCAACAACCGTAGTCGACGTGATTCTTCGTTCTTACATGCCATGTTGAAGCTACCCTGGACACTCAATCTCTTGTCGTGACGTAGGCTAGAGTAGATGACGGATGGAAACTCACAGCAGATTTTTGCACCTTGAAAACAATCGGGTGGTCGCATCAATACTGGTGTGCTGTCTCTGGGATAAGCTTGGCGCGGCCAATCACCAACATCGACAAAGTCAGACCGGACCTCTTTCCAAATATGCCTGAACCGTCACGTGTGGTGGTGGCATGGGAGGGTCATTCGCAAAATGAGTTGTTTGTGGCAATAGCCTTTCGCACGCGAAGGGCATGCCTCCGAATGGGAATCAGGCCAGGGGCGGGGGGACACGGGCCACCCTACTCTCCATTAGTGGCAGCCTACGGCCTACGAAGTTAGTGTACAAGAGAATTGGACACCATGTGTAGCAGGACAGCCGATGCACTGTTCTGAAGCCCACGTTCTGGTAGCACCTTTGATTGGAGAAGCATATGCCCGAGGGCCCTGAGGAAGAGTCCCCCTTTGATGGACAGGCCCGGCACACTTGTCATGCCCAAGGTAACGGATGCCTTTGATGATTGAATGGGGCGCCGAGCACAGAGCGAGAGGGAGGGCGCATGGAGAGAACGCGTGATTCCATTGTGTACGACCATGTTCATATTGCTTCAAAACGGGTGGAGAAGGCAAAGGGCAGCCTTCCAAACAACAAACCACTGTTTGACTGTTGTTCTCCTTCATTCCCGCCACGCCGTTCCGTTGTGCAGTGGACGAAACATTATCCTCCTCATATTCCTACGACGTGGGGGCAACCGCCTTTTGTCCGGATTTATCGACCGGTAAGTTCCACATGCCAATATAGCCCTGAACGCGTCCCAATGAGATGCGACTTACATTGGTTCTCTGAAGTTACCACGGCACCCTGTAGTCCAGTATGTTCTCGGTCCGGTGGGACGTGTGACGGCATAATAGGCCTTTCATTGATGTGATTCGGTAAACATGAAGCCGAGTGCAGGGTTGCTGCTGCTGCTGGAAGATGTTTGGCCTGTTATTTGGAGAGTGGAGCGAGCCGCGGCAGCGAATCACAACGATTCGCAAAGTCTAAAGCACGGCGCCAAAAGTGCCCTTGACGGTTTAAATATCGCTCTTGCGCTCGTATCATCTCAACCTGACATTTCTCGGACCTATTCTTGTGATGTCGCTCAGTCAATCCCAACGTGTGTGACGTCAGCATCGGCGAAAAATGCTTCTGCGTCTGTCGAGAGAGCGACCCTGCAGAGGCGTTATGCGGTTCTGGCTCCGGCTACAACTGTATCGATCCAGCCCCGGATTGCGGTGAGTACGGCTCCAAAATGCCTAATATTAGTACACGTTCCAGTGCAACGGCGGATGTTTGAGGGAGCTACCCGCGGTGCTTATTGAGCATGCGGTGGAAATCAAACACGTTTCCACATGCCAGAAGGGATGTCAACAGTTCTGTTTGCGAAGCTTCAACCGCCTACACTTCAAATGGCCCCTATAGTGATGATACATTTGTCGCTGGAGAGGCTCTGAGATCGTCATGGGATGATGAGACGCTGTTCTTCCGAAACTTGTTGATATATGAACCTTTCACCCAGACCAAGTGCCTAGGCGAACGATATAGGGCAGTGCAAAACCCGTGAACCGGCTTGAGAACGGTGTGAATCGAAGTGAATATGTTGAGATTTTCACCACCAGAAGCGCTCCGATAACGTCTCTTCAGAGAGTGCTGCCAAGGGAGTTGTGGGATGCATTCCTTACCGCGGAGCAAAGAGGGACCATCGCGAAATTTTATACCGACCATTAATAGTAAATTGCGTGCATGCATATACGAGCAAACCTTTTCGCGCGTGGCCCAGTCTACGATGGCCGTATTCCGTGTAGGTTTGAAACGTACCTCTATTCGTTTTTGCTTTTCTTGCTTTTTTTTGGTCTCCCATCGTTGGACTCTGTCGTCTGCCCCTCTGGCCCCTATCCTCCACTTCTACTAGCCAGACGACCCAACCGGGGTCACATAGGAGGGGGGGGTTGGACCCCCTCCTGCGGTTCCTGGCTGAGATATTTTATCGCGAGAAGGGTACAGCAATTCCTTCCCTCGCGACTGATGAAGTCGATCAAGTTTACTAAGAACGAGCTTTGCAATGCGTCGCTTCCAACGGAGACCAGGAATTAATTAGCGAGAAATAACTCACTCTGTCAGGACTCGAACCCATGATCTGGTGCTTAACACCGGGTATATATCTATATATATTTATTTATTTTTTCAATTGGACTCTGTCGTCTGCCCCTCTGGCCCCTATCCTCCACTTCTACTAGCTAGACGACCCAACCGGGGTCAAATAGGAGGGGGGGGCTGGACCCCCTCATGCGGTTCCTGCCTGAGGTGTTTTCATCGCGAGAAGGGTACAGCAATCCCTTCCCTTGCGGCTTACCAAGTCGATTATGGCTTACTCACAACGAGCTTTGCAGCGCGTCGCTTTCATCGTAGACTAGGATTTATGTAGTTAGACAAAAACTCACCCTGCCGGGACTCGAACCTTGACCTGGCCCTTAGCAGGCTGCGAGGTCACCCACTAGACCACCAGATATATGTACCCGACTGGAGTCTGCGGCATCATTCCATCCTTGCCCTTCTCTGATTTTCCGCATCATACAGATGAGTGCGGTATAGCAGGCGGTGACACGCGCAACATGGGCAACCAGGTCTGCGACCCCGGTGAGTCTCAAGTTTCGACCGTTTGCACCGACGCAAGTGGATCATTCGCGGGCAGCTCACCCACCACGTTTGCGCGTCCTTGATCTCGGTTTGCTCCCCGATCTAGGATTTGGAGCTTTGCAGTATGCTCGCGATAGTGAACCTGATCAACTGATCTAGGTCAACTGCTGTGCCGTACGTACGCACGGGGGGGCGTGAAGTCACTATTTCAGCTTTGTTTTCAATAGCGACGTGACTGGAGCTGCGCAGACCATCACCATCCCTTGCCTCGTGCTAACTCAGCGATTTGCCCTCTTCTTCCCTTGTGCTTGTCTGCAGAGAACAACGTCGAGGAATGCCAGTACGACGGGGGCGAGTGAGTGAAAGGCTACGGCAGTGCCTGAGAGCAACAAAAGGGTTTGCGCAGCGGTTTCGCGTATCGTTGCTCGGTGGCGGTTGTTGTATGGTCGAGAGAAGGAGGTTGTCCGTCAGACGTGCGCTTTAGCAAGAATAGGGTTTGGTCGCGAAATGTATGTATTTGGTTGTTGGCTGTACCTTACGAAATGCGTAGTGATCACTCGGGTACGAGTTGCGAGAGGCAAAAGGATTTCTGCCATCGCTCGACGGTGTTCAACGCCATCGGTCGCAACAGGTCAAGGAATGAAATGTGGGGCCAACACCGTCGATTCGTGAGGATCCGGCAGTAGCAAAACACTTACGTGAAGATTCCCACACAGGAAGAAGCACGTTGCCCCGGATGCATGGTTAACCGTCAATCCACAACACCAAGCGGTATCGAGTGCACCCCAACGCCCGCATCCTCCGCACGGCGTGTTATCCTGCCTCGCTTGCACTGCCAGCTGCTGCGAATGTGACTGCTCGAACCAGGTGTGCGACGAAGACAACACCTGCGTTACCCCGGCGTGGGACTGCGTAGGTGAGCCACACTTGCACGAACCGTTTTTGGCGACCTTGCGTGCGCGTACCGTGCTCGATGGGTATCGTTATGAGCCGGAAAGTGTTCCTCAAACTTCGTGCCCATCTCATTCAAGCTGAGACCTACTGCGGCATACCTCGTGAGGGTAAGGGGGCTTAAATTCGTATCCCCTGTGGTTTGATCAGTACAGCTCTGCTAGCTGCGTGCAGGCGACACTGCTGTACGTACGCCGATGTGCTCCGTCTACACCACCACTTCAAAAGACGCTTTCCTAGTGTAAGGATGGGTGATGTGAACTTGTTCCGGGACGTATGCTCTTTCTCGCCGCTAGTAAACCACTACCGCCATCACCTCACGGCGGTGCTCGCCGCGTGTATGAAATGATACGCGAATTCGCCGGATCGTCAATAGGACCCTTGAACCGCACTACTGTAGTCGCCCTTGTGAGGAAAACATGGTTGGATTCGTCGGTTTCAGGCCACTGGAAGAGATTTGGAGCTTTCGATATCCTAGTCAGCAACAACCGTAGTCGACGTGATTCTTCGTTCTTACATGCCATGTTCAGCTACCCTGGACACTCAATCTCTTGTCGTGACGTAGGCTAGAGTAGATGACGGATGGAAACTCACAGCAGATTTTTGCACCTTGAAAACAATCGGGTGGTCGCATCAATACTGATGTGCTGTCTCTGGGATAAGCTTGGCGCGGCCAATCACCAACGTCGACAAAGTCAGACCGGACCTCTGCCCCAACTATGCCTGAACCGTCACGTGTGGTGGTGGCATGGGAGGGTCATTCGCAGAAAGTTGTTTGTGGCAAAAGCCTTTCGCAAGCGAAGGGCACTCCTCCGAATGGGAAATAGGCCAAGGGGCGGGGGGACACGGGCCACCCTACTCTCCATTATTGACAGCCTACGGCCTACGAAGTTAGTGTACAAGAGAATTGGACACCATGTGTAGCAGGACAGCCGATGCACTGTTCTGTAGCCCACGTTCTGGTAGCACCTTTGATTGGAAAATCACATGCCCGAGGGCCCTGAGGAAGAGTCCCCCCTTGATGGACAGGCCCGGCACACTTGTCATGCCCAAGGTAACGGCTGCTTTTGATGATTGAATGGGGCGCTGAGCACAGAGCGAGAGGGAGGGCGCATGGAGAGAGCGCTTGATTTCATTGTGTACGACCATGTTCATATTGCTTCAAAACGGGTGGAGAAGGCAAAGGGCAGCCTTCCAAACAACAAACCACTGTTTGAATGTTGTTCTCCTCCATTCCCGCCACGTCGTTCCGTTGTGCAGTGGACCAAACATCATCCCCCTTAGGAATTTACACTGGCTCGGGGGCATCCGCCTTTTGTCCGGATTTATCGGCCGGTAAGTTCCACATGCCGATAAAGCCCTGAACGCGTCCCAATGAGGTGCGACTCACATTGGTTCTCTGAAGTTACCACGGCACCCTGTAGTCAAGAATATTCTCGGTCCGGTGGGACGTGTGGCAGCATAGGCCTTTCATTGATATAATTCGGTGAACATCAAACCGAGCGCATTGTTGCTGCTGCTACTGGAAGTTGTTTAGTGGGGTTTGTCCGTCGTTTTCGTTTGGTAAGTTCCAGATGTCGAATGCTTGAGAAGCGCCGTCAACCTGTCTCAACTAGGCGTGCTTGTACATATGTCTGAAGGCCACTAGGTAGTCGTAGATGATTCCCGGGGTCCAACGTGATGTACCAATGGAATATTGGGCTTCCGGAGACGTGACTGGACGAACCGAACTACGAGCGCGTGGACGATTGCTGGCAGCTACGGGGGAGAGCTGAAGCTCGCCGGGCCAGCGCCAACGGTTTTCACTGTCCAACACTGGCCTCCATGTTTCGAGCGCGTATTGTGGTCGGCTGTGGTAGCTGCTCCCTTTGAGGGCCGGGAGAGCCGTGCCGGCGCCCTCACCTTTCACCGTTCAACCCTGGCCGCCCTAAAGATCCTTCTCAATCTCGTTCCACCCGCCCTGTGTGAACGCTTTCTTTCAGATGATTTCGACAATTGTGACTACAACACTCAACGATGCCTGTGCACCTGTCGAGAGAGTGACCCTTTCACAGCGCTCTGCGGTTCCGGAACAGGCTTCGATTGCCTCGACTCGGCCTCGGACTGCGGTGAGCAAGTGTCGAACTGCTTTCTGCCGTGTGGTATGGATAATATGATCTCGTGCAGAGTAGGCACAGATACAACCAGTCCCGCAGCTGCTATGCTGAAGTTCACGCGCTGCGGAATGTCCCCCTCTTAGGTCCAAACGTGCTCCTCTCCATTTCTTGTTCCCTGCCACGGGATAAAGTCTGTCGGCCCTCAAGTGCAATGGCTTCCAAGCTCGCTCGTGACACTTGTTTGAAGAGGTTGTTTGCCACAGGAGTCGCATTCCATTGAAACCGGCGCGAAGGGTCGGTTTGGTGCGACCACGTGCAGGTCCGATTCACCTGTAGCCTACAGCATATGAACCCCTCGAGAGTGAGCTCGTATAGTAGACAATCCAGTGTGATATCGAGATGGTGTCAACCAACTATGTACGGATAGGTAGTCTATGCAGTTCGGGTCACTGCGACGGACATAATAGTTCACGAAGAATTTCTGCTGCGAATTCGGCTGGCACCGGGAACTCCACCGGGAACTCCAATGTGGATGATCTGTCACAAACAGGGGAAGGTGCCATTTGATCCCACTGGGGTGCATGCCAAGGCCACAGATTTCAATGAGCGGTGCACTTCTGCGCAGCCCCTTATGCCCCGCCCATTTCGGTGTGCCACCCTGACATAAATCTCTGACGACTTTTTCCCTTGCTGAGTTGCCTTAGATGTCCAAAAGACGAACTTGCACTCCTTGCAAAGGACGCTGGGGGTTTGGTTCATAAGGAGAATGCAGACAATCACGAGTGAAGGCACAACTGTACGTGCACACCTAGGATACCAAGAATATCGTCCATGAAACGAGGCAATCACTGTGATAAGTGCTAATGGTACATTGGACTTGATCATGTCAATGTCAGCTACATGAGCCCGAACGAACAAAAGCTCTGCACAGGAATGATTTCAAGCCCACATTCTAGGTTGTACCGTAGGGGCCGACTAAGGGCAACGTGTGTCTCAGGACTATATATAACGTACCTAAATCTACAAGTAGGTCGTTCGTTTTCGTTCCTCGGAGATCCATGTTTTTTCAAGGCCATTTACCGAAAGCAGCCATGGATAACGTACTGGGTTAGCTCGTGATCAGGATCATGACCCGGTCATGATCGACTAATGATCGGAAAAATTCAAACCGGGTCATGTTTATTTGTTCGTTGTCTCCCATTTCTGCGGAAATCGTCGGCCAGATAGTCGGATCATGACCCGGTAATGATGTAGCCATGATGGTGTCATTGCCGAGTGGGGATCGTGTTATGACCGGGCCACGAGGAGTGGACCATGACCGGGACATGATGATGTCACCACCCTACTATCGTGGCGCCACCATGACCCGATGGTCTGTCTTAGAGCTTTTTGCAACAACGCCAACCCACTGTAGCGCCTTCGCCGGCACACCCACATACTGTACGGTATATCTCGTGAGCACCGACCGAGCTGAGCACCGACTGATGTAGAGCCAATGCCGGCATATCAACCTGGAACGTATCCACCCAGCTCCAACCGAGCACCTACTGGGTGGGTTTTAGCGTTGGGTTTCGGTTGGTGAGTAAAGAAAGCGGTCTACCCACTAGACTACTTAGTCGAGCGACTAAGTAGTCTAGTGGGTAGACCGCTTTCTTTGTTTACATGGTGTTGGTTGGGTTCATAGCCGATTTGATGCCCGTTGCCAAATCAGAATCTGTTTCGGGGTGCCAGAATTTCATTGATTAAAAGCCGATTGGTTGCCGCCAAACGGGGCGGGAGTCCGGGTCTAGGAATCATTCAACCGTTTATTTCCTGCATGGGGTGTTGTCGGCCTGTCTAGGGCGTGAAGGCATGGCTTATCTGCACCATTTGTTTGGGCCTAACCATTACCAGGTTACCGCGGAGGTCATGACTCGGTCGCGGCCGGGTCCGTATCTCAGCGTGAATGGGTCATGGACGAGTCATGACCCCGTCATGACCTGGATGATGCCTAGGTCATGATTTCTCTCGATCATGCCTAGGTCAGGACTTTTCTTGATCATGATCAAGGTCATGGCTCAATTTCATGACCGAGCAATGACCCAGTCGCACCCGATTTTGAAGGTCATGGCCTGGTCGCACCCGATTGTTGAATGTCATGACGCAGTCATGCGCGGGTCATATCCCGGCCATGATCACGATGACGAGAACACCCAAAATGTTATACACCCATTATTTGCCGTGAGAAATTATGACTGCTTGCACCATGCAATTCATTCCACGCCAGCCTCACGACTAGCAAAGACCCTAAGGAAGCGCCAATGGGCCTCACGGATGGCCGCAACAATCGTTCGCAGGCAGTGATATGACGTGGTATCACCTCCTGGGTTGTCACCCCTCGTGGTTATGACGCTCCCTGGTTGGCATTATCAAAATCCCTCGATGTCTCTCCCGCGGCCTGCAGGGTCTATCGGGTTGGCGTTCTCAAGACATGGTGGAAAACACACACGGTGACAAAACAAAACTAAATCTATGCTGCCCTCCTCTTCGCCTATCGTTGTGTGCTTGTTCCCACCCGTCACCTTCGTTCGGTCACCGCTCGGCAGTCGAGGAGCCAACAGGTACGCACCTTGAACGTGATGGATGTCGTCAAAGTGCAACGTTTTTCGGAACGATGCAGAACACGTGCATCTGACCTCGTTGGAAGTACGTATTGGTTAATTTATCCTGGGTAGAACTTGTTCCGTTCGGCCAATATTCAGCAAGCCTTCACTTGCGTGCAACATCCATCTCAAGCATTGTCCAGCACCGAGCGCATGAGACTAGGCTAGATTAAGATGTCCTTGTGGTGGTCGGGGAAATAGGCCTCTAGGGTGTGCGACAGTCGCAAGGTGTCTCTAGTCTATGTGCAAATTGTGAGAGACTTCGCTGATGTAGTGCTTAGACTTCACGAGGCCCTCGATCTCTTGTAGATGGAGTCTCTGCCGACAACACACCGGGCTCTGATTGGCATGACTTTCCTCGCCTGCTCCCCCCGCCCCCCTCGTGCACGTTTCGGGCGCGTAGCGTGCGAGGACGACAGCGACTGCACCCTTCCCGAGGAATGCTGCCTATTGAAGCTGGTGTGCGAGGTAGCTGACCCCACGGATCCTACGGCTTGCGGTGAGCTACAGATTGCCAGAGAGGAATGTAGTCCGACGCACGGACTGATTGCTCCTGCTTTGAGACATATCGAACATCCGCAGGTCTGATCGGGGTGAGCGATGGCGACGGCGTGTGACAGGTTCTCCATTGTGCGTGGCGTGTGCATCCGTCATACGACGCAAAGCCGATAATGTGGGAATGTTTTCCCCGAATATTGTGAAAGAGGCGACGGACTCCTCGTTGAGAGATTCATCAAGACTTCATTCACATCACTGCTTGCTGCAGCGTCTAGAGTGATTCGATTTGGTCCCGTGGCAGGGGTGGAGGCTACGCTTACAAGAGTACACTTTAGGACATGTAGACACCCGCGGTCCTCAAACAGCTTCTATCGCCAAACATGTACAGTTTTTGCTTACCCTGTTGCCGAAAATCGGTCGAAACCCCGAGTACTGCAGGTGACCCCCACATGACCGGCTTCCACGGCCAGAAGTTCGACTTCACGGGCAACGACGGTCAGTGGTACTGCCTTATCTCAGACCTGCCGTCCATGCACCTTAACATGCGTGTGACGTCGCCCGTCTCTTCCCGGCCGGACATCACGTACATCACCGGGCTCTCCCTCATCACCACCGATGGAGATGGCCAAGAACACAGCATCATCATTTCCGTCAAGGACCCATACAGCCTGGATAGCGACTGCTCGCCCGGAGTGTCCCCCTGCCTTGCGGATGGCTCGTTGATCGTGGTGCTCGATGGAAACGAGACCCTGCTTGCCCCCGGTGCGGTTGAGCTTGCTTCAGACGTAATGGTCTCCGCTGTCAACATTCCCGGTGCCTGCCGATCGTTCGGGTTCGAAAAGTACTGGGAGCGGAAGAAGCTCGAGTACGCGCAGGCTGGCGGCCGCAGGCTGTCCGTACAGCAGTCGATGGGTGAATGGATACTGGGGGACCCCACCGCGACCAACATGGCGGAGTGCACGGAGTATGTGGCCCGTCACATAGCGGGGGGCGAGGACGGTGACTTGTTCACCCACCAATCCGAGCACGCGTCTTTCCAGATCGTCACACCAGCGGCCATTATCCGACTTAGCCACGGACGACTCCACCAGATCGCGCAGTTCGGCCTACCGGACCATATGACTTGGCAGATGAATCTGGCTGTCGATCACAACGACGTGAGCCTGAACGCCAAGGGGGTCCTGGGAGAGACGATGGTTCCCACCCGTACGGTTAGCGGGGAGTATATCATGCATGGCATGGAGGCCATTCGCGGAACCCAGGAAGATTGTGAGTCACCTCTGCCTACGAACGGCACTGGCATTTATCCAGGGGATGTACCTTGTAGACAAACCAGAACAGCGGTGATTGAACCGCGCCTTGAATAGGTTCGGTGTTCTGCGATAAAGCTGGTGCCAATTGAAACCTATGCTCATCGCTAGGTTGAATAAATCGACACAATGCTGCTTGCTTGTTCTTTCCGTTACTCGCCAGTCCTATTCTGCATGTGTCCCTATGCCAGGATGACTTCGCGATTGACAGCGCGACTACTAAACGTCATTTGGCCAAAATTTCCCAGCGGTAGTTGACAGTGTTTGCCGTGCTCCCCACTGCCAACACGCAGACCACGTTGAGGGACCCTTGGGCCTTGACTTCACTCTGAGCTAGAGTACCTGGAGCCCGCTTCAACGCCTTCATCTTCAGAGCGGAAATTCCCATGTGCTCCACGGTCAACACGTAAACAACGTTGGGGGGGCCGGGGGCCTTGACTTGAATCCGAGGTGGATTGCCGAGAGAGCCCACATGGACCACCGACATGACGAGATCGGCATGTCTTTCCTGCAGTTTCGCATCAACAGCAGGCATGCAGACCACCAAAATCGTCGTGTGACACCATTGATTGATTTCAAAAAGTTCATGTTGGATGGATGCAGAGCCCATCGGCGTGCATACAAGAACCAGTCAGACATTCTTTGCCAAGTTAGTTCCGCTCTCTAGTCTATGGCCACCAGTGGGTTGGTGGGTGGGATGTGCGACATCTGTACAGTCTCAACCGAAGGTATGTTGAATTCCTGAAAGAGGAACAGGCTGTTTTTGCGTTGGGCTTTCCCACGACCGTCTCACATTCTCGCTGTCGACTATTTAGGGCTGGTGCTCGGCCGAGGTCAGAGATGGTTTAGTGGTAGACGCAGAGGAAGTTAGATAATTAGGGAACATAAGCATTTCTCCATTGACTTGGTTCCTCTAAGGTCGAGGTAATACTTTCGGTTGTTGCCAGAGTCATGGGTTCTGTGTCCCCAAAGTAAACAGTTTGGACTTGGCCCAATCGTTCGCTGTTGACATCGGTGCCGTGCGGTACTGCACAAACGCGGTTAGAACATCAGAGATCAGACTAGACAGTAATAAACTGTCATGGCCATAGAGTTTTCATTTGATCTTTCTCGGGCTTGAGGGATGTAATATATACATGTACTGTAGTTGATTGTTGATAGGCTTCGACAATAAATAGGCTTCGCGTTAGGTTGACGAGGGATAAAACTCATGGCTGTCAACCACCATCAAGTGGTTGTGGTAACATAGTAGAGCGGAACTCAGGTGGAGCGCGCCGTTGCCTCGATTTCATTCAGTCAGTATCAGGAGCGAGGCGACGTTTTATCAGCGCCGAAAGATTAAGATTAGTATTGCCGAACGGTTACGGATTGTTAAGGATAACATAGGATGGTTTCACCAAGCGAGGTAATTTGGCAACCTGGCAGGTATCTACAGATCGATGACTTTTCTCGAGAAGAGTAAGTGGGAAAGTTTCGTAGCGGGTGACCGTGGATCTTGTATGACGGTAGTACGTATCGATAATCGCAAGTATATTATATGAGTCGCGGACTACGTATCGAGAAGGCTCGTATTTGTGGCTACAGGGCACAGGAAGTGGGCGCGAGCAGTTTAACGTTGGTTCAGCGTTTCTTCGAATAGGGCCAGGACCATGTTTCTATTTTTGTTGCCCTAGTCTATGCTCTTCCTGTTGGATATTTCCATCGCATCGTACATACAACTCTTGGTAAACAGCGATACGTACAATGTTGCTCTCACCTTCGTATGAAGACACGCAGTAGTAGTGCAGGTGCACATTCTGTGTTTGATATACTGCTGAACAAGCAGAGTATCTTTTTGAGGATAAGTGTGCTCGGTTATCCGATTATTTTTTGTGTAGTCCCTCCACCGGTGGAGCAAATAGCATTGCCGATTAAGTTTTTAACATTTCCTACAAAAGTTTCCTTCTGGCGAGCATTGACTTTGTTCTTGAGATACTTATGCGGGCTAATTCAGAAATGAGCATTTGATTGGTCAGCCGTAAGGTGAGAATGTTTTGTGTACGCAGGAGACGACGTCAGCCGGTTCTTTGCCCAAAAGGGGTCATGTTGTCTGATTAGTTGACATTGGGATATAAGTTCAAGCGTATTTCCGTCGGTATGTTTTTGGTTGAATGATGCACCCCCCGCGGAGTCCCCATCCTCTCACGTCGTTTTTCTTCCGGTCTCTCCGAAAAAAATAATTACATTTCTTCAACATGTTTTCGCACCCGGGAAGTCTTGATCCTCGTGCAAGAGGCTGCCGGCACAACTCTCTCATGGAGGTGGATTGCCACGAGTATGGTAAGCCGTGTCGCAACACACCACGTGCGGACACGCTGTGCTCTGAGTTAGGCTTGTGACCGGCTGCATCATCAGGTGCTTTGCCGTACATTGGACTTCACTCGATTCGGGTTTCCTACCACAGTTTTTCTAAACGACCCATGGGACACCCATAGGCGGACACCCGTGGGTCACCCGTGGGCCACCCATGGGCCGCCCATTGGCACCCCGTTAGGCTCACGGGCAACCCATGGAAGTCCATGAGCGGCCAATGACAGCCCTTCAACCAAACCAGAGTACTCCTCCTAAACAAAAGATTATCTGCTTCGGAACGGGCAGTATAGTGGCTAACAACCCTCACGCCAACCGCAACCCTAACCCCAAGCCCGTACGATACGTGCTAGGTTGGGACTGGTGGAAAATGTTCTACAGTTGATGTGAAAGTTGGCTAAGCTCTAGGTTGATATGGCGGTGGCGAAGTTCTAGGCTAAAGTGCCCACGGTGGGCTCTTCATGAGCCGCAAATGGGCCGCCCGTGGGCATGCCCATGGGTCACCCTTGGACGGTTTAGCAAAACTGTCAGTAAAGCGGGAGATTGCTCGCATTGGTCTATCTCTTGTCGTACGCATGAGCTGCAGACACAATGGAACCTTTCTTTTTTCAAAAACTTGACAAGCCCATGCCAAACGTCATCTAGGTGAGCGGTTTTCGTCAGCTTCAAGCCCCACACCACACACCTCCATTCCCGAGACGTCCCCTCGGTGCTCAGTCAACAATTTTCGTGTTTGGGTTGTTTGCAGCCCGCAGTTTTGGGAAAGATATTGATGATGTTGATTACAATTTCAAATGATGAGGGCGACAGGTTAGGTTTCCGCGTACATCGCGTGCGTCACAGCGACAGGGCGCCTTGCCGGTGTCTACCGAGGTCAGCTGCACTATGATCGATATTTCGGGTGGCTCAGTTCTGTGTGTTGGGAGTGTAGAGCAGCTAGGCCATGACGGGCCGTGGTAGGGGAGGGACGTAGAGGAAAACGTGTTGTGTTCTTCGGCGGCGTGCTCGTGCTCGTAAATCTGTCACGGCATCAAGCACGCGTCACGCTCATCACGCTCAAACTACCAAACGGATCTCTCTGATTCCTCTGCATCTCATCACTGCAATTTCCGTACGTACGTATTGAAGATCGTACCCGTCATACTATGCTACGAGTACCCCCAATATATCTAATACACTACTGCTATTTATTATGCTGTGCGTGGTGCAGGTTTCATGCACTTCCTCCTGCCATCNGCTCAAACTACCAAACGGATCTCTCTGATTCCTCTGCATCTCATCACTGCAATTTCCGTACGTACGTATTGAAGATCGTACCCGTCATACTATGCTACGAGTACCCCCAATATATCTAATACACTACTGCTATTTATTATGCTGTGCGTGGTGCAGGTTTCATGCACTTCCTCCTGCCATCATTTGGATGGCGTTTCACGCCGACGTGCCACGGACGTGCGGACGTAG